AGTATGTTTAGATACATTGTCGCTTCAAGTGTAAAATTGTTGTGTATTTTACACAATCTTTTTATACAGCCACATTAACATATTTCATTTTTCCTCTCTCTTTCTCATTCTATTAACTAATCAACTCTATATTAAGTAGATTTGTAAAAATTATGTAGGATCCAGACATGGCACTGGTTGGTTGTTATTGGAAATATATTTTTACACAAAGGATATAAAACAACCGCTGGAGTTAAAAATGAATAATTCAAAATTTTTGTGTAAATCTATCTTAATACATCAAATTTACACCAAAAAAAAAAAAAAATACACAACGGTTGGAGTTGCCTCGTGTTACATGTCTTTTAATTATGAAAATTATGTTCATATATACATATTACTATATTTGCATTATGATCCTAAATTTTAGACCCTTCCAAATTGGAGGCCTTAGGCAACTGCATTGGTCGCCTTGCCCCAAGGTCGGCCCTGCATATATGTTATATTTACCATATGTGTGTATATTTTTGCTTTCAGTATCATGTACTATGTTTATATTCCTAAGTACATGTACAAATACATATATTTTGTTTTTTTTAAGCAAATGTACATGGAGTCCCAATCTTACAGTTATAGTTATGTATTAAATTAACGTGTTGTATTATGATGTAGTGTGTTGCACTACTGATTTAATATTGCACGTAATGACACATGACATACAAATGAGACAAGGAAAGATTATAGACAAGAAAAGATTGTAGTCATAAATGAGAGATGTATGGTATATAAATATCTTAATGAGTTACATACTCTCCATCGGCTTAAACTTTTAGGATTCATTTGGATTGAGAGATTTGGAGGGATAGTGAGAGAAAGGATAGTAAAGGATAATATTGATTGTGTTTGGATGGGTTAAAACGACATCGAATAAATGATAGGAAAGGGTGAGGAGCGATAGTCATATCCTATTCGTCAAAAAATGAGAAGATAAGGAGAGAAATGATAGTGTTTAAGTAGTATTTTTATAATTTTAAAATTGCCTTCAACAATTAAAGAAGAAATTGTTATTCCACTCATATCTCATCTATTTAAAAAGGTATGATAGTAATATAATTGTTATTATTTCTTTTCTTTTCTCCCCCTATTTTATCCACACAAGAATACTATCATTTTTTTTTTCTTTGTCCTATTTATCCAACATGAATAGAGATTATTGATATCATTTTTTTTTTTCTTTTCTCTTATAATTAATACGGAGTATTATCATTTTCTTTCTTTTCTGTCCTTAGTATTCGGACGGAGCCTTAGATTAAATAGAAATAAACAATACGTTATTAATGCATAACTATGTGTATACATACATACATATATATATATATATATATATATATATATATATATATATATATGGAACAGCCCATTCACTTTCATGAAATAACAAGAATAATACCAGCTTAGCTTGCATTTGTGTAAACTAGTCTAATACGAACCACGTGTAAAGTCTTAGTGATAGTGACGAACAGCCCATTCACTTTCATGAAATAACAAGAATAATACCAGCTTAGCTTGCATTTGTGTAAACCAGTCTAAGACGAACCACGTGTATATATATATATATGTATGGAACAGCCCATTCACTTTCATGAAATAACAAGAATAATACCAGCTTAGCTTGCATTTGTGTAAACTAGTCTAATACGAACCACGTGTAAAGTCTTAGTGATAGTGACGAACAGCCCATTCACTTTCATGAAATAACAAGAATAATACCAGCTTAGCTTGCATTTGTGTAAACCAGTCTAATACGAACCACGTGTAAAGTCTTAGTGATAGTGACGATAGCGCATATACTCGTACACCTGCTAGGACCACTAGTAATGGATGGTAGTGCAGGGTCACTTCTAAGTGCCAACTACAGGACCAGTTAGAAATATGTTCATTTTATGTGACATTTCAAGTTTTTCAATAGGCCACCTAGCTATATTGAAGACTCGCACCAATTCCACGGCAAACCATTTGGTTGGATTGTATTCGTCAGTAATCACCTCTTAAATTTTTTATAGTACTGGAACTCTTTAGTCTTGATCAAACAAACGTACGACTTTACGAGCAGCAGGCACATACTATGAAGTTTCCCAATCTGTGCCTGCACCAGCTTGTAGTTAGGGGCATAAGCAACACCCGGTAGACAATGATTAATGATAAATCACATCTTTTTTTTTTTTTTTTTTTTGAAAGGTATGATAAGTCACATCTTCCTTGTGCATTTCTAGGGCAAAAATCCTCCCCCAGGAGAATTGCATTTTTCGTCATAAATATTCCTAACACAATGTGAATTTTACAATTGTACAACAAAAATTACAAATACTTAAATTTTAGTAAATATTTTTACACAACCTATTTAATCAATCAATTTTTTTAAAATCAATCAATTTTTAGAAAACCAAAATCCTAAAATAAATACAATTGTGAATATAAATTAATTTGAAAATCATAATGAATATTTACCTATACATGAAGGACACTGTGGGAGGCGGTTTAACTAATTTCTTCTCACCACTTCAAACGCAATTGTGGATAAAAATTAATTTGAAAAACATCATGAATATTTACCTATACATGACGAACACTGTGGGAGGTAGTTTAACCACTTCCTGCCTACCACCTGAAAAATATGTCTTCTTCATTCTTTTAGGTACCCAAAATTTTCCCACTTTCTTCTTTGCTGTAGTTTTTTTCTTAGCCATTCTATTTTCCCCCAAATGTTTAAAGCCCTTATAAAATATGGAATAATATAGTACTTTTGATGGAATAAGATGCAACAACAACAACAAGAACTGCTATTAAACAAAACAATGGGAAGACAACGACGGTAGATACGATATTGGAAGACGAAGCCAGAGGAACCAGAGAGAAGGGAGGAGACGAACCAGAAAAGAGAAGAGAAGCTGAAGGAAGACGAAGAAGAGAAGCTGAAAAGTAAAAAGTAATATGGGGGTCCCACATATAAGTGAATAAAATAATTTTATATTTTAATTATGTATACGGTATTCGTAGATGGTAAAACAAAGTAACTTTCTTACTTCAGTTATTGAGTTGGCACTTAGTGGGCAATGACAAGGCAAGTGTGGCTGAGTTGGCTTCATCACAGTTGTAGGATCCTCCATGGACAGCCTCCAGTGAGAGGTGCCATGGAGAGGATTTTTGCCCATTTCTATATATCTATATGTAGGGCCCACCTTGAGGTTCCAAAATATAGGCCCTAGGTGAACTTTCAAGTGTAAGACCCTTAAGGTTTCACAGGTGCTAAAAAATTTTTTTATAAGAGTGCGAAATTTTCATTAAAATTAGACGTTAAATACAAAATATATTAATATATGTTGAAAACACACAGAATAAAATCCAATATTTGTGCTTTATAAATAATACGATCCATTTTACATCAAAAATTTTAATGAGATATTCAATACAACTTAGGCACAAAAATCAAAATTCAACTTCATATCAAATAAATGTGATCGTTTTGCATTTTGAATTACAAAATTATTAATTAAAGGGCTCCAATTAAGTTTCCACAACATATCGTCAACCGTAGATAGGATTTAATCAACTTTAACTTTGAAAAGTTTCTCTCAGCAAATGCAACTGCAACTGGAGTAGTCTGAAAACAATAATCTAGCATTTTTATAACATCCAATACCTCAATTGGCTTTTTTGTTCTTGTTGGTAAAGCTTCTCTTAAGACTTGTACCTCTGAAAATAATTTTGTCTCATCAATATCATAAACTATATCATATTTTAGGAAATCTTCAAGGTTATTTTGGAGAATGTGACAGTAGATTGCACCAATGAGTTAAAATTTTGATTATTTAGATTGGGCTTAATGGAGCTTGTCGTGCATGCACATGAGCCCAAAAATAATATAATAATAAAATAAACCAAGTTTCTATGTTTAAATATAGATTTTTATTTTTATTTTGATGGGTGGGGACATAAACAAAATATTATTATTATTATTATTTGGTAAGTAAGATTATTGACACCATTGCATAAACAAATTATTGTTACCAAACAAATTATTGTATTATAGATATGAATATATATATATATATATATATATATATATATATATATATATATATATTATATTATAAGTACTGTTTATTGCCATAATTTTTTTTAAAGTTATTTATTACCATAAATTTACATGATATATAAGTGTGAATTACATGTCTTTTAATAATGAAAATTATGATCACATATACATATTACTATATTTGCAGTATAATCCTAAATTTGAAACCCTTTCAAATTGGAGGCCCTAGGCAACCGCATTGGTCACCTTGCCCCAAGGTCGGCCCTGTCTATATGTTATATTTCCATGTGTGTGTATACTTTTGCTTGCAGTATCATGTACTATGTTTATATTCCTAAGGACATGTACAAATGCATATATTTTGTTTTTTTAGCAAATGTACATGGAGTCCCAATTTTATAGTTATAGCTATGTATTAAATTAACGTGTTGTGTTGTATGTAATGTGTTGTACTTTTGATTTAATATTGCACGGAATGACACATGACAGACAGGTGAGACAAGAAAAGACTATAATCATGAATAAGAGATGTATGGTATATAAATATCTTAATGAGTTACATACTCTCCGTCAGCTTGAACTTTTAGGCTTCATTTGAATTAAGAGATTTGGAAGGATAGTGAGAGAAAGGATATGGAAGGATAATGTTGATTGTGTTTGGATGGGTTAAAATGAGAGAAAGGAAATGATAGGAAGGGGTAAGGATTGATACCCACATCCTATCCGTCCAAAAATGAGAAGATAATGAGAGAAATGATAGTGTTTAAGTAGTATTTTCATAATTCTAAAATTGTCCTCAACAATTAAAAAGAAGAAATTGTTATTCCACTCATATCCCATCTATTTAAAAGGATATGATAGTAATTTAATTGTTATCATTTCTTTTATTTTCTCCCTCTATCTTATCTAAATAAGAATACTATCATTTTTATTTTTATTTTTTTAATCTCTTCTATTTATCCAAACATGAATAGAGATTATTGATATTATTTTTTTTTCTTTTCTTTTCTCCTATACTCCTTCCGTCCTATATTAGTTGTCCAATTCAAAAAAATTTACTCACAATTTTTGTTAGTCAAAGTTACCGAAATATACCTCTAATATGAGATATAAATAATATATAAGTATATGAAAGGAATATGACTAAAAATGACATCAAATGATTCAAAAATAAAATGTGGTAGTAAGTCAAAGTTTTCTAAATGAATAACTATTATCATTTTCTTTATTTTCTATCATGTGTATCCAATCGGAGCCTTAGATTAAATAGAAATAAACAATACATTATAAATGCATAACTATGTATATATATATATGTATGGAACAGCCCAGTCACTTTCATGAAATAACAAAAATAATACCATGTTAGCTAGCATTTGTGCACATGCCATTCACTGCATGTCCCTCTCTACATTAATACATAACTTTATATATATATATATATATATATATATATATGTATATATATATATTATATTTGTATACAAGTATGGAACAGACCATGTACTTTCATCATATATGTATATTATATTTGTATACAAGTATGGAACAGACCATGTACTTTCATCATATATATATATATATATATATATATATATATACAAGTATGGAACAGGCCATGTACTTTCATCATGAAATAATAAGAATAATTGCTGCCATGCACTGTCCCTCTCTACATTAAAATCTAATGAAAAGGGTGGTTATTACCTTGAAGTTTCTTCTCTACCCATGAAGGAGATAACACAGGACTCATTTCATACTCCATGATCTTCTTCTTCATTTCATGAGTCCTGTCATCCAAACACACCTTCTTCTCATCAGGCAACACCTTAACCCTCCACACCTTAAAAGTCTGATCCAAACTTGCACTATAAACCAAAAAACCCATCACAACCCTCTCTATCTCCAATGAAGCAGCCAAACACCTCACTGGCCCTCTATGTGCATCCAACACTGCAAGGCACTCATGAAAGCAGCTCCCTTCCTCTCTCCTCCAAACCCTAATCGTCGTGTCCTCCGATCCGCTGAATATCAACTTCTCTATGGACACCAAGCAAAGCACTGCAAATCTATGCCCTTGTAAGAACCCTCCATGGTTAAACCTACCAGACATCTTCTCTTTTTCCCAAAAGTTTATGAATCCGTCGGACGAACCGGAGTAGAGGAAGCAAGACCTCAGTGATGTGCTTAAGGCCAGTGCATTGACAGGCGACGGCTGGAAGTTAAGTGTCATGGTGAGAGTATGCGAGTTCTGTCCATATACTCGCCTCCAAATCTTGACCGAACCATCAGATGAGCATGTGAAAACACACCCATCATCTTGGTTCACCACTAGGCCATTCACATTATCTTCATGAGCCAAAAATGAGTCCACGCACCGATTATCGGACATTCGCCACGCCTTGACTGTTCTGTCCCATGACCCAGTGTACAAAAGCCCTTCTGCATGGTAATAAGCCATGCAGGACACACAATCCTTGTGTTGGTGCCCACTTGCCCTAGAAAACAAGAGGAATGAGTTTTTTCTAGGTAGGGTTGTGACCTTTTTGGACCTGAAATTATCCGAATTCGTGACGTTCCAAATTCGGACTTTGTGATCCCTGTGTGAAGTGAAGAGCATGTTACCATAAGCTAGGATGGCCCGGACTTCGCCGGAGCTCGCCTTGAGGTACCCGCGCTCGATGCAGTCCGGCTGGCGCCATGCACGAATCCGGCGGCTCTCAGAGCCAGTGTAGACTACTCCTTTGGAGACGGTGATGGAGTAGATGTTGCCTTCTTGGCGGTGACGCGAGGCGATGCAGTGGTAGAGGAGAGAGGGGGATGGTGTTTGGAGAGGGGAGAGAGTCCATGGTGATTCAGGGCTTGGAGGTGGGAGTGGAGAATACATAGTGGAAGTGGGTGTAGAAGGCCTTGGAGGGCTAAAATGGCCATCTTGTTCTGATATTTGTTGATGGATTTGGAGGCCATAGAGGTGAGTTGGTGATTGAATTGTCTTTTTCTCTTCATCTATGAAGCTGAACAAAGTTCTCTTGCCATAGTATTCCATGCTAAAGAGAGAGAGAGGTGAGAGAGAGAGAGAGAGAGAGAGAGAGAGAAATGGGATTGGTAATATGGCTATGGGTGGTAGATATATATAAATGTGAAGATTGAATGGGTGTATTAATAAGCCAATTTAATGGGTTTAGTTGTGCTTATTTATTTTTGGTTAAAAATAGACGTGGTGTCCTTTATCACCATTGAATAACTCACTATTATAAAGTATAGACATATTGAATTGATATTTGGGGAGAATTGTGTCATAGAGATCAAAATTGCAGCATGATCAATTAACTCTCCCAAGTTAATTGATTGATCAAATGGGATCACACATGGATTTCATACATATATAAGATATGTTTGGTAGGGCATTATGCAGTGGCTTAGTTAATAGAGCATTTCGGGTATGCCTGTTTTCGAGTCTTCCTCCCTCTATTTTTGTTTGAAAAAAAAATAAAAAAAGTTATGTTCAATAGTATGAAACTAGTGCCTTAAAATTGAAATTGAACAACTTTTACTGCGTGTGACTAGGGCCTGCTTAGTTTGTAATTATGAGAACAGTTTTCTATTTACAAAGAACTCTGTTTCGTTCAGTGTTTTGAAAACTAAGGTATAAAAAAATCTCTTTTCATAGAATTGTTTTTTATAATTATCTAAATTTTTGAAAATTATTTTTAGAATTACAAACCAAACAGATTCTAAATTTTGTCAATTTCTTGTTCCTGTTCCTGCTACCACACCCTGTCTAAGTGACTTGGTCATGACATGACTTTGGGTACTCAAAGAGAGCCTCTGATTTCTTCAAGAGTGCTTCAAATTTAACTAAGCATAGGTTGAAAAAATTAGACTATATACAGTAGTATATACGTACTGAGTTTCCCAACATGGTGATACAGTGAATAGATACACTACAATATATATATATATATATATATATATATATATATAATAGAGAAGACATTGGCATTACTGAACATCTTATCAAATATTCATATTGACCCAGGGCATTAAGATTGAAAAGGACAAGATTGAGCAAAACTATCATCAGGTTTCATTCGTTGTTCGTGAAAAAGATTTGAGTAGATTATAAAAAATTGGGGGATATGATATTAATTTTACTCATATGGTAGGTATTTAATGAGATTCATGATGACATTTTTGGGTACTCAATGAGAGCCCTCTGATTAATTGAATTAAAGTATAGGTTGATTAAATTAAAACTATATAGTATACTGAGTTTTCCAACATGATATATATATATATATAGACATCACGAAAGGAATATATAGATGCATCATGCATGTACTAGAGAAGATCGACATTGACATTAATTAGTGAACATCTTATCAAATGTTACTATTGAGCCATAGCATTAAGACGGAAAAGGACAAGATGATTGATTTTTCAACTGTATATGTATAGCAGTTAGTTATCAATAATGGTGTGTATATATATATATATATATGTGGGGGACATTGATCTTTCTGAAAGATGTCTGACAAAATATTATAAAAAGGGGGAATACGTGGTTGCATGAGTAAATAACAATGAGATGGAACCAACTACCATGGTCAACTCTCAATTGATCAATGATGAGAGCAATGCATTGCATTATATGAAAAGTAAGAAGGAAAAAAAAAAGTGTTCCATTCAATGATTTTTTTCATGAAAAAAAAAAAAAAAAAATTAGAGCAGTTCCGAAATATTCTGCATATCATTTGGAAAAGGACTTACCCAAGATCTATTGAAATACGTTCGAGAAATTCAGGTTTCATTTGTTCATGAAAAAGATTAAGATAAATTATTTATAAAAAATATCAAGGATAAGATGATTCATAGAGACTTTTTAAACCCGAGACTTGACTCTTCAGCCTTCTATTCTAGATGATAGTGAATTACGGCCATACTTTTCTAAACACAATGAAAAGATACATGTACAATAACATTTTAGTTGAATTTGTATTTTGTCCATTTTTTGAAGTTTTCAAAAATAAGTAAATAATAGAAATTTTTAATTTTAATTTCATGAATTTTATCTTAATATATTATACAATTTGATTTGGACACCCGATACAAATGTAAACTTTTGCACATAAAGAAAGCTGCATATTTCAGGTAGATCAAATACTCTTATTTGATGTTTTGAATTTTGATTCCTCTTTGTAGGGGTTCTTTTTGAATAATACAATAAACAAGTGTATAAGGGTGATATTAAGAATACAAATATGAAGGAAAACAGAGAAGATATTTAGTGAAGGAGGAGAAGAAGACCGATCTTCAAGATTAAGATGGAGGTAGGGCAGATATACAGTATTTATGACAGCTCTTTTCTGGCCCCCCTTTCCTTCATGTGATAGTGTTATTTATAGGCTCTAGAACATGCTGGTTATTAACCAGCGGTCCCTTGCGCGTCTCGCTCCTAACCATGATCACATGGGTAGTCCTGATGGACCTAGGAGCCTAAGAGGTCCAATCTTCTCATCAAGCCATGCACTTTGTTGCTTCTCCCCTATTTGGGGCATTTAATACATTTTGTTCTTGCTTGGCCGTCGGTTGGCCAAGTCTATCATAGCATTAAATGTGATTTAAAGGTTTGCTGTCATAATGTATATATTTCCATCATCTCGTTGATCGGGCCTCGTAGGGAGCAAAGGCACTTCTTTACTTCTCGTCCACCAGTCCAAGATCCTTCTGAATTTCCCAAGTTAAGATCCCATATATATAGCCGAGAAGGCCCTACCTTCGTTTCACGTATGTTTGGACCTGTGGGAGTATAGTCATTTGTAGGCGAGCTCTCTGGGGTTCTAATGCCTCGAAGCACTATGAGGCTCAAAGGAGCTTATAGGCTGAGCATTTAAGTCCTAGCAACTTGGCATGTTGCTAGGGTTCGTAATGCTTGAGGTCTGAGCTCTCAAAGCTTATTGGCATGGTGCGATGCCAGGACTTGAGTCGGTCGAGAGTTGGTTCCTTTAGGCTTGTTGACCTGGTGCGTTGCTAGGGTTTGAGTTGCTCGAGGATTGACCCCTTGAGACTTGTTGACTTGGTGTGCTACCAGGATTTGAAGTACTCGAGGGTTAAGCCCTCAAGGCTTGGTGGCCTGATGTGATGCCAGGGCTTGTAGTGCTCGAGAGTTAAGTTCCCAAGGCTTGATGGCCTAGTACTTTGCTAGGGCTTGGGGTGCTCGAGAGTTAAGTTCTCGAGGCTTGATGGACTGGTGCTTTGCCAGGGCTTGAGGTGCTCGATAGATTAAGCCTTCGAGACTTAGTGCAATTTTTTGACTTTTCAACTTGTCACGAAATCCTAGATAAAGGGTTATGTTAACTTATCAACATGCCATGTCAGCAATTGGAAAATGAACACCCACACTCTTCTTCTTCAGGATGAATAATATTTGATGTTTTGGGGGTGGGGGGGAATTACACTTATCATCCTACACTGATATTTAAACATGGGTTAGTCGGAGCAACGTTACGGATACTCCCGTTATTTAAAAAAATATATATTTAGATGTGAGTAGGAAATATGCGTCCAAAAACACTTGGGCATGTACCTAATTAACCATTATGTAAGACAAAGAAATATTTGATAATAAGTATTTAACATTTTTCACATGTCACACTATTTCAAAATTCAATACGTCTGATGTTTGGACATGTTTGGACATAAATATTCGCACTTTGAACATATGGATAAATAATTTAAATGTGGCCGTAAAGTACCAAATTTTTAAGCTTTCAAATTGTGGTCCTTGATCGACTTAATTTTTCTGTACTAGCATGAGATTTGCACTTGCATTCTTTTATTGTTAATATTATTATTTTGGATTCATTTTATGAACAAATTCATACGTAATATATAGATACATAAATATATAATAGTATACATCCTTCTTGGCACTGTTGCCTTCTTTGTCCAAGAGTCCATTATATATACATAAGAGGTTGGAACCATAATCCTCTTCAATATGTGCAATTTAAAATTAGAATAAATTATATTGATCTTAAAATGGAGGTTTGAGTAAATTACATCGTTTACCATTTATTAATTTCATCTCTCCTAAATCCTTTCATTTGTAGCCTATAAATAACTTTGATCGTAAAAAATCAACAATGTTCTTCTACTATTTGCATTTTATACAAGAGAATAAATAAATTGTCATTTAAATCTGATCAACAAATCTACCAAAAAGAAAATGATAAAGAGTGCGATTAAGCACACATAAAACCTCAGCAGAGTTCAAAGTATAAACATTGAGTCGTGCGTAATTTGCCCGTAAAATTACATTGAAAATGCAACAAAATATTACATCATGGTGGTGCAATACTACAATGCCACTAAATTGAGCATGCAATTACATCTTCAATAATATTACATTTTCAATTTAATGGTGATACAAGGTATTGAATCCTTTATTTTTGTGCGGATATAATCCATGTCCAAAGAGGCTAACCTCAAGAGAGTAGAAAACATCTACTATTGATGTTGTCTTTTTTTGGATCTGTTTATGATAATAACAAATATTGGCAAGGCGCGCATATATGCATAAAAAGAGGGATGCTGGCCAAAGCTGTAAGTTTGAAGTTGAAGATCTGGATGGGGGAACATCAATCTGGAGACCGACATTGTGATCGACTACTTCCCCATTATTATTGGTTGTTTGGTTGGCAGTGGCGCGCGCGCACACACATATATATAGATATAGATATAGATATACACACACATGTATAGCAGCAAAACCACATAATGTAATAACAAATTAATACAGAAGGCAGCACATTTGATGAAAGTACAACAAGAGTTAGTGATGAGCAACACAACATAATGTAACCACATAATGTAATCACTCTTGCATCTTTATTAAATGCGATCCGACCCTTTCTATTAATAGTACTACTTGTTAGCTTATGAATTTATGAACAGATATTAATGAAGAGAGAATCATGATTTCAATTTTATTTTATATTATTTAGTCTGTTTTGTGTCATTACTCCTATTTAAATAGTTTAGTTTTTTTTTTTTTTTTTTTTTTTTTCTATTTTTTTTCTTTTTCCTTTTTGATCATTTGCAAGAAATTAACACATACCCA